GACACTCACGATAACACTTATGATAACACATGAATAATGATGCTGTGTGGTTCTCCGTGCCGGAGCGGGTTATCTTGAGATGATTTCGGGGCTTTAGTGTCCCCGCGGCCCGGTCCTCGACCAGGCCTCCACCCCCAGGAAGCACCCCGTGACAGCTGACTAACACCCAGGTATCTATTTTACTGCTAGGTAACAGGGGCATAGGGTGAAAGAAACTCTGCCCATTGTTTCTCGCCGGCGCCTGGGATCGAACCCAGGACCACAGGATCACAAGTCCAGTGTGCTGTCCGCTCGGCCGACCGGCTCCCGGGTGTTGAGGAAAACATCACCATTCATCACCATCAACTCATCATGTTTGACGGTTTACAAGGAAGCAGACTAGGTCACTACACCTCCACGGGATTCATAAATGAATTAAACAACCACTTACGAAACCCATACATCTTTCTTTAGTTACTGGGACTTTGCTTAGAGTTATTAAACAGTTTACCAGTTTGTGAACCTCACAAGCCAAGGTTGTTAGTGTTATTAACGGTTTAGTAAATCATTGTTATCATCAACGGTTTAGTAAATCATTGTTATCATCAACGGTTTAGTAAATCATTGTTATCATCAACGGTTTAGTAAATCATTGTTATCATCAACGGTTTAGTAAATCATTGTTATCATCAATGGTTTAGTAAATCATTGTTATCATCAACGGTTTAGTAAATCATTGTTATCATCAACGGTTTAGTAAATCATTGTTATCATCAATGGTTTAGTAAATCATTGTTATCATCAACGGTTTAGTAAATCATTGTTATCATCAACGGTTTAGTAAACGGAAACAACGCCGTCGTCATTAAGGACAGATAGACAGGTTGCGATAGATAGACAGGTTGCGTAAGTGACTGCGTAAATGTTTCATGAATCCCGCTTCAGGTTAATGAGGTAAACACAAGTTAATAGACAAGAGACAGTGTGTGAGTGGCCGTACTGGACCTGCCTCACCTGGTCCATGTACTGGACCTGCCTCACCTGGTCCATGTACTGGACCTGCCCCACCTGGTCCATGTACTGGACCTGCCTCACCTGGTCCATGTACTGGACCTGTCTCACCTGGTCCATGTACTGGACCTGCCTCACCTGGTCCATGTACTGGACCTGCCTCACCTGGTCCATGTACTGGACCTGCCTCACCTGGTCCATGTACTGGACCTGCCTCACCTGGTCCATGTACTGGACCTGCCTCACCTGGTCCATGTACTGGACCTGCCTCACCTGGTCCATGTACTGGACCTGCCTCACCTGGTCCATGTACTGGACCTGCCTCACCTGGTCCATGTACTGGACCTGCCTCACCTGGTCCATGTACTGGACCTGCCTCACCTGGTCCATGTACTGGACCTGTCTCACCTGGTCCATGTACTGGACCTGCCTCACCTGGTCCATGTACTGGACCTGCCTCACCTGGTCCATGTACTGGACCTGCCTCGCCTGGTCCATGTACTGGACCTACCTCACCTGGTCCATGTACTGGACCTGCCTCACCTGGTCCATGTACTGGACCTACCTCACCTGGTCCATGTACTGGACCTGCCTCACCTGGTCCATGTACTGGACCTGCCTCACCTGGTCCATGTACTGGACCTGCCTCACCTGGTCCATGTACTGGACCTGCCTCACCTGGTCCACATGTTAGTGTTCCTTACTTAAAACATGTCGTTCTCATCGCACCTGTACGCTAGTCTATGTACAACTGTTACAGGTTCAGTTCATCATGTGTGCGCCCAGGTATATGTGCACATGTGTGATTGAATACATAAATACATACGAACATGTGTGCGCCACCACCTCTCCATACGATCATCTACATATGTGACTATGCAGTGTTGTCAGCACATACACCTGTCCTTCACAGCACGTTCATCTATGTATTTGTATGCGCCGCAGGTGTCTATACACGTGTGTTATCATGGCCACACACCAGACTAACCCTCAGCTTGTGTGCCTAAGGAAGCAATACACCTTAAGAAGCTTTCTGACAATTGAATTACTGTCATTACTGGCGTGTAACTAGAATGGTTTGGGGTGTGTATGGGGGTGACCTTGGGCCCGTAGAGAGGGCCCGGCTGGCGGGACACGGGGCCCGGCCTAGCACCCTCCCCCGTCAACTCTCCACTTCCACCACACCACACACAGGAAGTTCCAGCATGGTGCGTGTTGCCACAACTCACACAATTACCATCACAATTCTTAACCTCTTTTAAACCAGCAATAAATACAAATAAGTTCCCCGCCTCGTCTTGGTTGAATAATATGCGCCTTATTTATTGAAGTGTGTTGTTATAGCATCTAAGTGTGGAAGTTACTTTCATTATTATAGCAAGGAATGTGAATTAATGATCTTTCACTCCATGCCATACCATGGGCGGCTCATGGCAACGTAGCTGTTGCAAAGAAAGGAAAATTTGAAATACCTGCCAGTGTGCAAGTGTTTTCCAGGCCAGCAACCCCGGAATTAGAGAGGTTGCCTCTGGTGTCACGGCGTGGGTCTCTGCAGTATGTAGTGTGATGAGATATACAGCTCCCCCGGTATGTAGTTACTATATGTAGAAGTATATGTAGTTCCCCCGGTACTACAGTGTTCACCGTGGACACAAACGGTAGTAGTGAAGGCTGCCACACCTGTGACAGGTCAGGTGTGAGGAGGTGCCCTTGGTGGAGACGTGAGGGCTGTGCGGCGCCTCGTGCTGCTTCTTGCTCCCGTGTGACCCGCCGGGTGTGTGGCAGTGACCCGCCGGGTGTGTGGGAGTGACCCGCCGGGTGTGTGGGAGTGACCCGCCGGTTGTGTGGTAGTGACCCGCCGGGTGTGTGGCAGTGACCCGCCGGGTGTGTGGGAGTGACTCGCCGGGTGTGTGGGAGTGGCCCGCCGGGTGTGTGGGAGTGACCAGCCGGGTGTGTGGGAGTGACCCGCCGGGTGTGTGGTAGTGACCCGCCGGGTGTGTGGGAGTGACCCGCCGGGTGTGTGGGAGTGACCCGCCGGGTGTGTGGGAGTGACCCGCCGGGTGTGTGGGAGTGGCCCGCCGGGTGTGTGGGAGTGGCCCGCCGGGTGTGTGGTAGTGACCCGCCGGGTGTGTGGTAGTGACCCGCCGGGTGTGTGGTAGTGACCCGCCGGGTGTGTGGGAGTGACCCGCCGGGTGTGTGGGAGTGACCCGCCGGGTGTGGTAGTGACCCGCCGGGTGTGTGGGAGTGACCCGCCGGATGTGTGGGAGTGACCCGCCGGGTGTGTGGGAGTGACCCGCCGGGTGTGTGGGAGTGACCCGCCGGGTGTGTGGGAGTGACCCGCCGGGTGTGTGGGAGTGACCCGCCGGGTGTGTGGGAGTGACCCGCCGGGTGTGTGGGAGTGACCCGCCGGGTGTGTGGGAGTGACCCGCCGGGTGTGTGGGAGTGACCCGCCGGGTGTGTGGGAGTGACCCGCCGGGTGTGTGTGGGAGTGACCCGCCGGGTGTGTGGGAGTGACCCGCCGGGTGTGTGGGAGTGACCCGCCGGGTGTGTGGGAGTGACCCGCCGGGTGTGTGGGAGTGACCCGCCGGGTGTGTGGGAGTGACCCGCCGGGTGTGTGGGAGTGACCCGCCGGGTGTGTGGGAGTGACCCGCCGGGTGTGTGGGAGTGACCCGCCGGGTGTGTGGGAGTGACCCGCCGGGTGTGTGGGAGTGACCCGCCGGGTGTGTGTGGGAGTGACCCGCCGGGTGTGTGGGAGTGACCCGCCGGGTGTGTGGGAGTGACCAGCCGGGTGTGTGGGAGTGACCCGCCGGGTGTGTGGGAGTGACCCGCCGGGTGTGTGGGAGTGACCCGCCGGGTGTGTGGGAGTGACCCGCCGGGTGTGTGGGAGTGACCCGCCGGGTGTGTGGGAGTGACCCGCCGGGTGTGTGGGAGTGACCCGCCGGGTGTGTGGGAGTGACCCGCCGGGTGTGTGGGAGTGACCCGCCGGGTGTGTGGGAGTGACCCGCCGGGTGTGTGGGAGTGACCCGCCGGGTGTGTGGGAGTGACCCGCCGGGTGTGTGGGAGTGACCCGCCGGGTGTGTGGGAGTGACCCGACGGGTGTGTGCGAGTGACCCGCCGGGTGTGTGGGAGTGACCCTCGGGGTGTGTGGGAGTGACCCGCCGGGTGTGTGGGAGTGACCCGCCGGGTGTGTGGGAGTGACCCGCCGGGTGTGTGGGAGTGACCCGCCGGGTGTGTGGGAGTGACCAGCCGGGTGTGTGGGAGTGACCCGCCGGGTGTGTGGGAGTGACCCGCCGGGTGTGTGGGAGTGACCCGCCGGGTGTGTGGGAGTGACCCGCCGGGTGTGTGGGAGTGACCCGCCGGGTGTGTGGGAGTGACCCGCCGGGTGTGTGGGAGTGACCCGCCGGGTGTGTGGGAGTGACCCGCCGGGTGTGTGGGAGTGACCCGCCGGGTGTGTGGGAGTGACCCGTCGGGTGTATCCACCTGTCACAAATAGTTCAACTCGTATAAAAAATAATGTTATGCGCGGCGCGTGTTTATGTATTTAATATTTGTGTCTGCAGAAGCGAGCTATTAGCTCTTGGACCCCGCCTTTCTAACCAATCTAGTTTTCCTATATTATATCTACTACATATATTTATCTCTAACACACACACACACATCACAGGAAGCAGTCAGTAGCAGCTGTCTAACTCCCTGATACCTATTTACTGCTAAGTGAACAGAGGCAATAAGGTGAAAGAAACTCTGCCCATTTGTTTTCACCTCCACCGGTGGAGATGGTCTAATGGAGTGTAGTTACAGGATGAGAGCTACCCTCGTGGTGTCCCGTCTTCCCAGTACTCTTTGTCGTATTACACTGAAACTACTGACGGTTTTCAGTGCTGCCTCACCTGTCTTGCCTACACTACCACCCCCCCCCCCCCTCCCCACACACATATTTCTTGTTTGCTTACATATTTGCCTCTTTATACATATTTGTTTATATATTCTTTATTTATAAACTACCGCAGTTTTTTCTACGGATCTGCACTGCGAGACTTCAGTCAACGGAGCCAGGAGATTTCAATGAACTAAAGAATAATGAGCCAAATACTGTGAAAGCCTATGGAAATGTTGTTGACTGCTTTACTGTGGTGTACGGAAATGTGATGTACACGAATGTTTCTCAGTTTGAGTTAGTGACTGGGTAAGAAAAATGAAACCAGGAATGCATGCAAATCATGCAAGCCAACCAACAGTGAGTGTGGAGCCAGCCGCCAGGTCCTGAAGACAACGACAATCCAGAAACTGTGACAACATTCCACCCTTCCACCTTCCCTCACCCCCCACCCCCACAACCCTCCAGCCCCCCCCCCCCTACCTTTACTACCCCAACAAGCCTGCCTCCTGCCGCTTATTGATGTTTACATCTCTTACACTACATCCCTTGACACACACTTGTAAACTTTCTTTTGTCAGCAATAATCCCTCATACTTCTACTCTTGCTAATATGTCACATTCATAATTAACCTTCCTCCCAACTTATCGCTCTAACCATCTTCACCTAATCTCTACTTTAATTAGCGTCATTTAGTTTCCACATACTTATATCTGCCATTATCATCAATTCAACATTACCTTTTACCATCTTCCATCTATTGTATTATCCTCAGTTGTGTAACACGTCATATCTGTAATATTTCTATACACTGTCACTACTGTCTTGGTCTCCCTGGGGTCCCCCTCCCCGGCCCCTGTCCTTCCTGCAGAGATGTGAGGCGTCTGCTTCCCGGCTGCTCCCAGGACCTGTTCCCAGGACCTGTGCTTAAGGTCTCACCGCAGCCGCTACTCTTCCTCCCGGTGTATACTACCGCGGCCTGCACCTTCCCTCTGCGTCTGATCCTCTCCTCTGAGCCTTCTATCTTGCCGCTCCACTCATCAACAGCCTCCTCACTTCCTGCTCTCCTACGCCCTTCTTGATCTCTCTCTCCTCCTTACTGCCCTTCCTGACCTCTCCTTGGTACCGTGGCCTTCCCTTCTGCTCGCACGCGTGTCTGCCCACAACACATCTTCAAACCATTTGAAGTACTTCAACGTTACGCTGTATACAATTTCCTGTTTAAATTGCTAAAAATTGCATATACTTTCTAACCTCCGTACCAAAAAGCTTCCCTTGCTAAAACCGTTCTCACTCCTTTACTCTCCCTCTCCGTATTCCCACCTCACCTCCGCGACTGATTCCTCCTGTTCACTTTAAGGATATCTTATATCCTTCATCTTATTCATACTTGTTGCGTATCCTTTATAGAACTCCTTTAGTCTTCCAACTTCTCGGGCATCTCCTTCCACTGGTTTTTCCCACCTCCGTCTTCCTCGTCCTCGTCCCTGTCCTCCCGTGATAATGCAACATAACCAGGTGTTGGTGATCCAGGTGTCTAGCGGCACCAAGCTTCCCCTGGCCCTGCCGGCGCCCCAGGAGGCCCTCTTGCCCTCCGAGGTCAAGTACTCGGCCTCGCTGGTGCGCGGCCTCGGCTTCGCCCGCCTTATCCTCGGAGCCGTCCTTTTTCTTCTGGGAGTCCTCGGTGAGTACCACTTTATATTGTGCTAGTGCCAGCCATTTGTGTCAGTGTTGGTGTGTGTGTGTGTGTGTGTGTGTGTGTGTGTGTGTGTGTGTGTGTGTGTGTGTGTGTGCGTGCGTGTGTGTGTGTGTGTGTGTGTGTGTGTGTGTACTCACCTAGTTGTACTCACCTAGTTGTGTTTGCGGGGGTTGAGCTCTGGCTCTTTGGTCCCGCCTCTCTACCGTCAATCAACAGGTGTACAGATTCCTGAGCCTATCGGGCTCTGTCATATCTACACTTGAAACTGTGTATGGAGTCAGCCTCCACCACATCACTTCCTAATGCATTCCATTTGTCAACCACTCTGACACTAAAAAAGTTCTTTCTAATATCTCTGTGGCTCATTTGGGCACTCAGTTTCCACCTGTGTCCCCTAGTACGTGTGCCCCTTGTGTTAAATAGACTGTCTTTATCTACCCTATCAATCCCCTTCAGAATCTTGAATGTGGTGATCATGTCCCCCCTAACTCTTCTGTCTTCCAGCGAAGTGAGGTTTAATTCCCGTAGTCTCTCCTCGTAGCTCATACCTCTCAGCTCGGGTACTAGTCTGGTGGCAAACCTTTGAACCTTTTCCAGTTTAGTCTTATCCTTGACTAGATATGGACTCCATGCTGGGGCTGCATACTCCAGGATTGGCCTGACATATGTGGTATACAAAGTTCTGAATGATTCTTTACACAAGTTTCTGAATGCCGTTCGTATGTTGGCCAGCCTGGCATATGCCGCTGATGTTATCCGCTTGATATGTGCTGCAGGAGACAGGTCTGGCGTGATATCAACCCCCAAGTCTTTTTCCTTCTCTGACTCCTGAAGAATTTCCTCTCCCAGATGATACCTTGTATCTGGCCTCCTGCTCCCTACACCTATCTTCATTACATTACATTTGGTTGGGTTAAACTCTAACAACCATTTGTTCGACCATTCCTTCAGCTTGTCTAGGTCTTCTTGAAGCCTCAAACAGTCCTCTTCTGTTTTAATCCTTCTCATAATTTTAGCATCGTCCGCAAACATTGAGAGAAATGAATCGATACCCTCCGGGAGATCATTTACATATATCAGAAACAAGATAGGACCGAGTACAGAGCCCTGTGGGACTCCACTGGTGACTTCACGCCAATCGGAGGTCTCACCCCTCACCGTAACTCTCTGCTTCCTATTGCTTAGATACTCCCTTATCCACTGGAGCACCTTACCAGCTACACCTGCCTGTCTCTCCAGCTTATGTACCAGCCTCTTATGCGGTACTGTGTCAAAGGCTTTCCGACAATCCAAGAAAATGCAGTCCGCCCAGCCCTCTCTTTCTTGCTTAATCTGTGTGTGTGTGTGTGTGTGTGTGTGTGTGTGTGTGCGTGTGTGTGTGTGTGTGTGTGTGTGTGTGTGTGTGTGTGTGTGTGTGTGTGTGTGTGTGTGTGTGTGTGTGTACTCACCTAGTTGTGCTTGCGGGGGTTGAGCTCTGCTCTTTCGACCCGCCTCTCAACTGTCAATCAATCAACAGTCACTAACTACTTTCTTTTACACACATACATGCGCACACGCACGTACGCACATACACACACACACACACACACACACACACACACACACACACACACACACACACACACACACACACACACACACACACAGGAAGCAGTCATTAACAGCTGTCTAACTCCCAGGTACCTATTTACTGCGAGGCAACAGGGGCATCAGGGTGGAATAAATTCCCCATTTGTCTCTGCTGACGCCGGGAATCGAACCCGGGCCAAAGGATTATGAGTCCCGCGCCCTGTCCACTCAGCTACCAGACCCGCAACAGGTCTGACACTGTGATACTGTATGTCTGTGTGTGTGTGTCAACATGCTGAGAGTCCGGGTAAGCCGGTGGGCTTTAGCTTGTGGTATAGACAAGTCACACAAGTCACCGTGGCTGTGACAGTCGTCACCTGTGACCAGGGTGTCTACGTGACGTTCAACTTGGCCAGATCTCCTCGGGAGGACTTTGTTGGACCACGAGTTTAAATATTTTCGGTTTTACTTAAAGATTTGCTCAGAAAATGTTCACCAACGTTACCTCACGTCAACTTCGGACTGCACATAGTAATTTGCGTTCGCGTGAGGGAGATCATTTCTAATGATGTATTTCACACCACGTCTGGCGATAATGGCGCGCTCAATGTCTCTAGGGTTTTAGTGGCAAAAGCCACTAGTGCTAACACTACCTCACTCTACTTCATTCTACGTTACTCTACCTCACTCTACCTTACTCTACCTCACTCTACCTTACTTTACCTCACTCTACCTTACCCTACCTTACTCTACCTCACTCTACCTACCTCTACCTTACTCTACCTCGCCCACATCTCTCTGCAGATAAATTTAATTAATAAGTGGACATAATAATCTTTGATCAGATAACATACATAAACATTACTTGTTAATTAAATAATGTTTTATCTGAATGCATAATAATATGAACCAACTGGAGATCTTGAGCGCTCTATGTAATATGAATGAGGATACAATGTACTCACCTAGTTGTGCTTGCGGGGGTTGAGCTTTAGCTCTTTGGTCCCGCCTCTCAACCGTCAATCAACAGGTGTACAAAGTTCCTGATCTTACTGGGCTCTATAATATCTACACTTGAAACTGTGTATTCATTCATTCACTCATTCATTTATGTGGACTCGACCAACCACCTTTCACCCAGTAGGTGGTTTCTCTGTCATTTAGAACGTGTGTTTGTGTCGGCTGATATTATTGTACGGAGTGTTTAGAGTGCTGGACGTGGCGCCGTGGGCCTGATGCCACCTCTCAATGTATCTGTGAAAGAGTGAACCTCTCTTTGTCCAAGGTTGGACGACAGATGCTTGGGGCTAGCCTCACCCAGCTATGCATGGTGAATGGTCTCTGGTGAGGTACAGACATAGGCTGATGAGGGTTGATCCTCTTCGTACTGTTAAGAGAAGGGGATCCGGCCCATCCAATAGTAATACCATCTACTGGGTGAAAGGTGGTTGGTCGAGTCCACATGAATGAATGAATGAATGAATGAATGACAGAGAGAGAGAGAGAGAGAGAGAGAGAGAGAGAGAGAGAGAGAGAGAGAGAGAGAGAGAGAGAGAGAGAGAGAGAGAGAGAGAGAGAGAGAGAGAGAGAGAGCGGGAGCGGGGGGGGGGGGGGGGGGGCCTAGGAGAACGGGCTGAATACTTAACGAAACATATATGCTGTACTTATTAAGTAGGAATGCTGCAGTTGGCCAGGCGGTACTACTTACAGCCAATTATTTTCACTTGTTTGTCTATCAGTAAACGTTACAAGAGTACTTAGATAATTGCTTCACTGGAGGTACTTGGTAGTCTGTTGCATTCACTTACATCCTCCTTAGCAAACTACGGTTAAGCTAAACCCTTTTTAATCGTTAATTTATTCAGTTTGAATCAGTTGTGTTTTTCTTCATTGATAGTTTCAATATATTCTTTAGGCCTTTTACCTATTTGTATAATTCATTTGAATATGTTATATTTTTCTTCGCTTTCAATATAATGTTAATTCAATGTCCTTGGTGTCGCTTCATAATGCTCTACGAGCATTAGAGATCGTCCTTGGTCAGTACTTTTCATCCGCATACTTGCCACCAGTTCCTATGCTTTTGTTAAATATAAAACAGCAGCCTAGCGCCCAATTACCAACCGTGAAATTGAGACCACAGAATAAGAAATTGAATTGACAATCGTCTCTGGCTGAGAGCTTTCCGTTACCACGAGGCTAACGGTTCACACGTGGTCAATGGTACCTGCATGTCTAGTATCACACTCTCATTATTATTATCGTGTATTACTCTCTCTGTTGCTCACTGTGTGTTGGTGGGTGGTGTGTGGTGGTGGGTGTTGGTGGGTGGTGTGGTGGTGTGGTGGTGGTGGGTGGTGTGTGGTGGTGGGTGTTGGTGGGTGGTGGGTGGTGTGTGGTGGTGGGTGTTGGTGGGTGGTGTGGTGGTGGTGGGTGTTGGTGGGTGTTGGTGGGTGGTGGGTGTTGGTGGGTGGTGGGTGTTGGTGGGTGGTGGTTGTTGGTGGGTGGTGTGTGGTGGTGTGTGGTGGTGGGTGGTGGTGGGTGGTGGTGGGTGGTGTGTGGTGGTGGGTGGTGTGTGGTGGTGGGTGTTGGTGGGTGGTGTGGTGGTGGTGGTGGGTGTTGGTGGGTGGTGGTGTGGGTGGGTGGTGGGTGTTGGTGGGTGGTGGGTGTTGGTGGGTGGTGGGTGTTGGTGGGTGGTGGGTGTTGGTGGGTGGTGGGTGTTGGTGGGTGGTGGGTGTTGGTGGGTGGTGGTTGTTGGTGGGTGGTGGGTGTTGGTGGGTGGTGTGTGGTGGTGGGTGGTGGTGGGTGGTGGTGGTGGGTGGTGTGTGGTGGTGGGTGGTGGTGGGTGGTGGGTGTTGGTGGGTGGTGGTTGTTGGTGGGTGGTGGTTGTTGGTGGGGGGGGGGGGGTGGTGGGTGGTGTGTGTTGGTGGGTGGTGTGTGTTGGTGGGTGATGTGTGTGTTGGTGGGTGGTGGGTGGGGGTGGGTGGTGGTGGGTGGTGGTGGGTGGTGTGTGTTGGTGGGTGTTGTGTGTGTTGGTGGGTGATGTGTGTGTTGGTGGGTGGTGGGTGGTGGTGGGTGTTGGTGGGTGGTGGGTGTTGGTGTGTGTTGGTGGGTGGTGGTGTGTGTTGGTGGGTGATGTGTGTGTTGGTGGGTGGTGGGTGTTGGTGGGTGGTGGTGGGTGTTGGTGGGTGGTGGTGGGTGTTGGTGGGTGGTGGGTGTTGGTGGGTGGTGTGTGTTGGTGGGTGGTGTGTGTTGGTGGGTGATGTGTGTGTTGGTGGGTGGTGGTGGGTGGTGGTGGGTGTTGGTGGGTGGTGTGTGTTGGTGGGTGGTGTGTGTTGGTGGGTGATGTGTGTGTTGGTGGGGTGGTGGTGGGTGGTGGTGGGTGGTGGTGGGTGGTGGTGGGTGGTGGTGGGTGGTGGTGGGTGGTGGTTGTTGGTGGGTGTTGGTTGTTGGTGGGTGGTGGTGGGTGGTGGGTGTTGATGGGTGGTGTGTGGTGGTGGGTGGTGTGTGGTGGTGGGTGGTGGGTGGTGTGTGGTGGTGGGTGGTGTGTGGTGGTGGGTGGTGTGTGGTGGTGGGTGGTGTGTAGTGGTGGGTGGTGGTTGTTGGTGGGTGTTAGTGGGTGGTGGTTGTTGGTGGGTGTTGGTTGTTTGTGGGTGGTGGTGGGTGTTGGTGGGTGGTGGGTGATGGGTGTTGGTGGGTGGTGGGTGTTGGTGGGTGATGGGTGGTGGTGGGTGGTGGTGGGTGGCGGGAATGGCTGGATTTGTGTCGTGTTGAGGAGACTCTCCGCCATAGTGACACCCAACCAGTCTCACGCCAGGGAATATATACACCACACTGTTCAGTATATATACACTAAGAGTATAATTTATCCTTCGATTATGTTCAGGCTTGAGGTATACGTGGTGGCGGTCAGTAAGATATTGTAGTCATAAGAGTCCTCCAGAGGCTGTTAAGTCCTAACTAGTCTCTCGCGCCATTGCTCTGATATACATTGCATCTCATGCCATGGCGACGCACGGGGTTATCAAACTATATAATGATCCCTGAAGCATTTGTGACCTACAAGTACTGACTAGGGCGTTGCAGGTTGGGTAGACCTGAGAGGAGAGCCGTGTTACCAGAGCGCCCCGACCGCCAGCCCTTTTTGCTAAAAGAGTTGTGTTGGTGGTGCAACGCTACGTGATGGTCTTGGTGATACGGCAACACCTGAACTATATGACAGTTACTGAGGAGACGTGCTGCTGTGTCAAGTGGCCATGAGATACCTACTCATGTGGCCGGAACTATAGTAATAAAACCTTTCTCAATATTACACACTTGCATTAAACGGCTCCAAGTGTATTTTAGGCAGCAAATTAGCAGCCTCGTGCAACATGAGGCTGCTAATCAGGAACCTCAAGAAAGTTCGTCCACTGTTGAATTCATTCTCCTTAACTCGAGTAGTTTTTATGACATGATTTGGACATGTTTGATATATTAATTAAGGTTAAGCCTGCCACCGGTGTGAGGCCGTGCGTGCTGCCCACAACATGCTGTAAATAATGTAATAATCTGAACATCAAGCAAATGGTGTCAATGGAGTCATTATAAAGAGAGCTAAGTGTGTATGGCTATATATCACACCGCCAGTCATAAGGGATCCAGCAGTTAGTTCCTAGATATCACTCAGAATGTTAATATGAGAGCAGAAAGATATACATTGACCTGTGGTCAAAGGAATGAGGTGCACCACTATTATACGCCCTATATATCGAAACATATATATAGCGTATATTGACAGTGAAGGAACAAACTTTTCGGTGACCATGTATGAGGCCATTAAACCATGAGATGGATGACTGTAAGAGGGAGAGTGCAAGTAGGAGAGTTATGGGCAGGGGCCAGATTCACGAAAGCACTTACGCAAGCACTTACGAACCTGTACATCTTTTCTCAATCTTTGGCGGCTTTGTTTACAATTATTAAACAGGTAATGAGTTCCGAAGCATCAGGAGGCTGTTTATAACAATAACAACAGTTGAATGGGAAGTTTTCATGCTTGTAAACTATTTAATAAATGTAACCAAAGCCGTCAAAGATTGAGGAAGGATGTACACGTTCGTAAGTGCTTTCGTGAATCTGGCTCCAGGTTTCCGTTACAATAAGTGGCCGCAAGTTAACCTTGTGTGGCCGACACGCAGCCTAGCCAAGGACTGTGTCCACGTGGTTACTGCCATAGGCCGCGGGGATAGGTTACACCTCATGACACGTAATTTATTACCGGTAGTCAGCAGCCATCAACCTATCCAACGGATGCGGATAACATTATGACTGGCAGGATAGAAATGATAATTGCTGGATGTGACACATACGAAAGGTATTCTTTGAGGCGACATGAGCTACATCATTGACGGCAATACGGATGACTGTGTACCTATGAACACTCAAGTGCTTCATTTTAAACTGTTATAATACTGATCAGGCACAAGTTTACCAGCTTACTTGACTACAAGCTTACCAGTTTACTTGACTACAAGCTTACCAGTTTAATTGACTACAAGCTTACCAGTTTACTTGACTACAATTTTACCAGTTTACTTGACTACAAGCTTACCAGTTTACTTGACTACAAGCTTACCAGTTTACTTGACTACAAGCTTACCAGTTTACTTGACTACAAGCTTACCAGTTTACTTGACTACAAGCTTACCAGTTTACTTGACTACAAGCTTACCAGTTTAATTGACTACAAGCTTACCAGTTTACTTGACTACAATTTTACCAGTTTACTTGACTACAAGCTTACCAGTTTACTTGACTACAAGCTTACCAGTTTACTTGACTACAAGCTTACCAGTTTACTTGACTACAAGCTTACCAGTTTACTTGACTACAAGCTTACCAGTTTACTTGACTACAAGCTTACCAGTTTACTTCACTACAATTTTACCAGTTTACTTGACTACAAGCTTACCAGTTTACTTGACTACAAGCTTACTAGTTTACTTGACTACAAGCTTACTAGTTTACTTGACTACAAGCTTACCAGTTTACTTCACTACAATTTTACCAGTTTACTTGACTACAATTTTACCAGTTTACTTGACTACAAGCTTACCAGTTTACTTGACTACAAGCTTACCAGTTTACTTGACTACAATTTTACCAGTTTACTTGACTACAAGCTTACTAGTTTACTTGACTACAAGCTTACTAGTTTACTTGACTACAAGCTTACTAGTTTACTTGACTACAAGCTTACTAGTTTACTTGACTACAAGCTTACTAGTTTACTTGACTACAAGCTTACCAGTTTACTTGACTACAAGCTTACCAGTTTACTTAACTGCAAGCTTACCAGTTTACTTGACTACAAGCTTACCAGTTTACTTGACTGCAAGCTTACCAGTTTACTTGACTACAAGCTTACCAGTTTACTTGACTACAAGCTTACCAGTTTACTTGACTACAAGCTTACCAGTTTACTTGACTACAATTTTACCAGTTTACTTGACTACAAGCTTACCAGTTTACTTGACTACAAGCTTACCAGTTTACTTGACTACAAGCTTACCAGTTTACTTGACTACAAGCTTACCAGTTTACTTGACTACAAGCTTACCAGTTTACTTAACTGCAAGCTAAAGCTTCATATATTACATAATCACCCTAGGCTGCGTGTGTATCCTGGGGCTGGAGACATTTGACACCCACAAGCAGCAAGTAGCTGTCAACCTATTATTATGGCAATAACACCTACCAGAATTAGGATCTGTCTCGCCTTTATGTCACATTAAACAATGTTATTGTTGTATAAGTTCTAATTGTGATAAAGAACAACCCCGTTTTCTGTTCGTCTGCAATTAACGTAAGTGTGGGTCAGGTACACTGCCGACCACACATCCACAGTCACGCTTTTGTGCAACGATGCAATCACTTGTGAAGGTGTGTTGTGAGAACAGACTTATAATAACATTACCTTCTCAAGTACAAGCTAAATGTTATGCCTCGTATAATCCCACAATCACATTAATATGATACACAAGTTTCGTAAAGTTCCCTTCATTCATGCGGATAGTTGCCCGTCATGCTCAGGCGGAGGAGGAACACCTCGCGCCCGACACGGATGACGGTCACTTAATAAAAAATAAGTAAAAATGATACAATGACTCACGATCAAATTTTGTTGTACCAAAAATGAGTTATTATTATCTGGCGCTGGCGTCACGTGTGAAATTAACTCACTCTAATTGCCATTTAAACCAATGTGAGCTAGCACAGATCTTAGACATAAAACACACATCATCTTGAATAACGAAAACAATCTGGCAACCATAAAGAATTAGGATTTCTTTTGCAATAAAGATGTTGGAGGTGAACACTTGCAAAGATAATCTGTCCAAGTTCCATACCTGAGTAGGTTGCGATCAACACAACTTTCTCAAACTTTCTCTTTACAAATAACTACTCTTAAAACTTACCAGTTCAAAGTTTCTCATACATTCTTATAGTATGAAACTAGTTTTTGTGAGACAATTTATGACACCGCTCACTACATCTCATAAGTTAACATGGGACGGTTTATTTGTGTTGTGATTTATGGCCAGAACCAAAAATTGGAATCGGTTAAGTTGTTCAGCGCCAAGTGTTGTGTATTGTATATGTTTGTTGCCTCTGATGTTAGCGTGACTAAGGGAGTACCACGAAGTACCCCCTTGGCCACGGTAGGGCTTGGGTGGTAGATCTTATCACGTACAACATTCTTCCTTACCTTATCTCATCTGTGACAGGTTCATGGGTGGAGCCAGAGACGTGCTGGTCGGGCGCGGGCGTGTGGGCTGGACTGTCAACAATCTGTTGTGGAATATCGGGTCTCCTCGCCCACCGCTTGTGGTACAAGAACTTCACCATTAAAGCCTTCCTCGTGTCGTCAGTGGCGAGCGTCATCATCACAATCCTGGCCATCATCCTCACCATCTATGCCATCGTCAATCGCCAGCAACACTACTTTTACCTTCTGGAACAGGCCGAGAACAACCCCTGGTATGTAGCCTACTATATTCACTACACAAAATTTATTATTATAGTAAATTTTTAAAAGTCATTTCTGAAATGGTTACTATAGTTTGGAACGAGTTTTTCTGATATTTAGTCATGCTAATTTACTTTACAAATTCACGTGGCTACATCTATGTTAATTTATAAATATTTAGCACATAATATCATGACACCCTAAATGTGTATTACACAAGTAATAGAAGTATTAGAAACAAAATAGACGAGTTAAGGCCTTTTGTGTGCGGAGACGCAATATATGTTATTGCACTAATCGAAACGTAAATAATGTAGAAAGCAGGGAACTGTTAACTGAATATCAGATTAAGGGATTTAAATTATTACACGCAGATAGACAGATCAAACAAGGAGCGGGGGGGGGGAGGGGGAAGCAGCAACATAGGTCAGAGAAAATTAAAAATGTGGCGTCAAAGAAGGAATTAAAATAAGATCAGATACAGAAACTGTTTGGATATAATTAAATGAAAATGATGATAGCCTAATAATTATAAGAGCTATATAGAGGCCACCAAACCTTGACAGAATGGAGGAAAAAACAGAGTATATGGGCAGAGGATCCAATGATATTTGGTCTGACAATTTATAAATAATAGGCGCCTTTAATTTTAATGGAATAAACTAAACAATAAAATAGGTAATGTGGAAGCAGACGAATTTTGACAAATGTTAGACAGCAGATTTCTTAAGCAATATATTATGGAACTAACACGGGAAAACAATATATTACACTTGGTTCTAGCTAAATGAAAAACAATAGTAAATGACATAGAAATAGGGAGCATGTTAGGAAACAGTGATCATAAGGAAATTAGGTTTAACTTGGCATGGAACAATTTTGTGAGAGAAAACTATGTAAGAGTATCAGTTTTGAGTTTTAATTTATTTCCCACCGTGTTATTATATCGTCCGTAAATTTACAATTAATGCTGCTCAACCCCGTATCTGAATCGTCTATATATATAATTATATATGATAAACAACAGAGGTCCCAGGACAGAGCCCCGAGGCACTACACTTGCAACAGTTTCCCACTCTGACTTAACTCCATTTACACTGACTTATTCTTTCCTTTGAAATAACCATATCCTTATCCAACTTGACTTATCTCCCGCACCATGAGCCTCTACCTTTTTAATCAGTCTTTCGTGAGGTACAGTATCAAAAGCTTTGCTAAAGTCAAGGTACACAATGTTGCCATCTTTTCCACTATCAACTACCTCAGAAGTTTTGGAAAAGAATGACAGAAAATTCGTGACCCATGAGCGGCTCTTTGTGAAATATGTCGTGAATCCTTTATAAACAACATATAACATATAAACATATAACATATAAACAACATAAACCTTCAACTCCTTATTGAAAAACTATTACCCAACACAACCGCAATTTACACAGATGGATCTCGCATTCAGAACACCAATGAAATCTGTGTCACCAGAGGTGTGGATCCTACATAACCACTTCAAGCAGGGATGGCAACTACCCAACCCGCTATCAATATTCACAGCCAAACTGTATGTTCTGTGCCAAGCTCTAAAATTAATACGCTCACTGCCGGCTGAGAAACACACTATGCAGCGACTTCACAAGTGCGATCCAAGCTCTTACATACATTATTACACGGCTCCAAAATATGCAGAGTTAGTCTATCCTTGCCTGTGCAGGTTCTCCAAGAATACCGTTCAGAAGGATATAAAAGAACGTCCAAGACGCGTTAATTTCTGAGACGAGCAGGCAAAGTTCCCTGCTCGTCTCAGAAGGCCGAGAAGAAAGCACTTCTCGGCCTACTATGCAAGGCCCGATTTGCCTAATAGGCCGAGTGATTTTCTATATTTAAACAAAAATCCAATTGGTTTAATTTAATATTATTATATTATATTAAGAACATAAATTATTGACTTAGTTATGTTAATTTAGGTTAGGTTAAGAGAGGTTAGGTTAGGTAGGGTAGGGTAGGTTAGATAGGGTAAGTTAGGTTTCGTAATATATTTACGTTAGTTTTAACTCAAATTACAAAAAATGAACTCATACATGATTAAATGGATAGCTTTATCATTTCGTAAGAACAAAATTAGAGAAATATATATTCAGGAAACTTGGTTTATTAGGCAAATCGGGCCTTGCATAGTAGGCTGAGAAGTGCGTTCTGGCTACTAGGTACGACATATATATATATATATATATATATATATATATATATATATATATATATATATATATATATATATATATAATATATATATATATATATATATATATAACTGAAAACTCACACCCCAGAAGTGACTCGAACCCATACTCCCAGAAGCAACGCAACTGGTATGTACAAGACGCCTTAATCCACTTGACCATCACGACCGGACAAAATGAGGTGATAGCCGAGGCTATATGAACCACCCCACCGCCGGCACTCGGATAGTTATCTTGGGCATAGCATTTTACCAAATCACCTCATTCTTTGGGGCACACGTGAGGAACACAAATGCGAACAAGCCTGAATGGTCCCCAGGACATATGCAACTGAAAACTCACACCCCAGAAGTGACTCGAACCCATACTCCCAGAAGCAACGCAACTGGTATGTACAAGACGCCTTAATCCACTTGACCATCACGACCGGACAAAATGAGGTGATAGCCGAGGCTATATGAACCACCCCACCGCCGGCACTCGGATAGTTATCTTGGGCATAGCATTTTACCAAATCACCTCATTCTTTGGGGCACACGTGAGGAACACAAATGCGAACAAGCCTGAATGGTCCCCAGGACATATGCAACTGAAAACTCACACCCCAGAAGTGACTCGAACCCATACTCCCAGAAGCAACGCAACTGGTATGTACAAGACGCCTTAATCCACTTGACCATCACGACCGGACAAAATGAGGTGATAGCCGAGGCTATATGAACCACCCCACCGCCGGCACTCGGATAGTTATCTTGGGCATAGCATTTTACCAAATCACCTCATTCTTTGGGGCACACGTGAGGAACACAAATGCGAACAAGCCTGAATGGTCCCCAGGACATATGCAACTGAAAACTCACACCCCAGAAGTGACTCGAACCCATACTCCCAGAAGCAACGCAACTGGTATGTACAAGACGCCTTAATCCACTTGACCATCACGACCGGACAAAATGAGGTGATAGCCGAGGCTATATGAACCACCCCACCGCCGGCACTCGGATAGTTATCTTGGGCATAGCATTTTACCAAATCACCTCATTCTTTGGGGCACACGTGAGGAACACAAATGCGAACAAGCCTGAATGGTCCCCAGGACATATGCAACTGAAAACTCACACCCCAGAAGTGACTCGAACCCATACTCCCAGAAGCAACGCAACTGGTATGTACAAGACGCCTTAATCCACTTGACCATCACGACCGGACAAAATGAGGTGATAGCCGAGGCTATATGAACCACCCCACCGCCGGCACTCGGATAGTTATCTTGGGCATAGCATTTTACCAAATCACCTCATTCTTTGGGGCACACGTGAGGAACACAAATGCGAACAAGCCTGAATGGTCCCCAGGACATATGCAACTGAAATGCTATGCCCAAGATAACTATCCGAGTGCCGGCGGTGGGGTGGTTCATATAGCCTCGGCTATCACCTCATTTTGTCCGGTCGTGATGGTCAAGTGGATTAAGGCGTCTTGTACATACCAGTTGCGTTGCTTCTGGGAGTATGGGTTCGAGTCACTTCTGGGGTGTGAGTTTTCAGTTGCATAAAAGTAATATAAGTCTCAGTAAACAGTTCATTCTGCAATGGCCGTAGGAAATCAGTTTTACAATGACCTTTTTTACACACATATATAATCCTTTGTAGTCTGCAGCTTAGTAAAAGGAACTTTAAGGTTCAGCTCCTGAGCTCATTATGTGCTTTAAAAAGTTGATATATGTTAAACCATATAGCTTATCAAGACTGTAACTTGCTTAACTAACTAAATTTTTGGGTTCAATTCCTGAGCCCTGTAACCTCTGTAGCGTGCCTCTGTTATAACCTTTTCCACTACAGTTCACAGTATGGATATGGGATGCACAATAAATTAACTCAACTTTTTGCAAGAGAATTACAAATTTAAATTGACTTTTTCTTCGTTAAACACTTGATTTTATCCTTTAGCTAAAGACAGTTGTTCATTGACACTGCCGGTGATGTCTTCCACCCCTTTGACGGCTTGTGACAACTTTAACAAGATTCTTAATACGGTGAAGTCCAATTAGATAAATGAAAGGTACCTGTAGTATTTATATGCAAGGTCAACCCACAGTTGTTTGGCTATGTCCCACACGACCCTTACACAGTACTGTGTGCATAATCCCAGACAAAAGTTATGACTGTAGTTTGGTGTCACCGATCAGGTAGCACTTACCACTTTACCTTTACTTGAAGAAATTCGTTTGTTATCCCTGTGGAAACATATATATTGATATTATCCATAACTTTTGACTTTTTATCGTATGGGAGATCATATTACATTAGAGGAGTAATTCGACATTGAAGGGGGGGGGACCTTGATATAAATAAATCTAACGTTTATGAATCTACTCTGGCTTCCTGTCCCCCGACACAATGAATTATTATTAGTGCATTATTATTTACTCCCGAGTTACTGGTGGGTTTAGAGTAAGGCAGCAAGCATGAGTGTGAGAGCCTCTCACCTGGGACCCAAGTTGTAGTAATGTCTCCATGTACGCAGGTTCCAGCCATATGACCTAGACAAGGAGTGTCCTGGGGACCATTCAGGCTTGTTCGCATTTGTGTTCCTCACGTGTGCCCCAAAGAATGAGGTGATTTGGTAAAATGCTATGCCCAAGATAACTATCCGAGTGCCGGCGGTGGGGTGGTTCATATAGCCTCGGCTATCACCTCATTTTGTCCGGTCGTGATGGTCAAGTGGATTAAGGCGTCTTGTACATACCAGTTGCGTTGCTTCTGGGAGTATGGGTTCGAGTCACTTCTGGGGTGTGAGTTTTCAGTTGCATATGTCCTGGGGACCATTCAGGCTTGTTCGCATTTGTGTTCCTCACGTGTGCCCCAAAGAATGAGGTGATTTGGTAAAATGCTATGCCCAAGATAACTATCCGAGTGCCGGCGGTGGGGTGGTTCATATAGCCTCGGCTATCACCTCATTTTGTCCGGTCGTGATGGTCAAGTGGATTAAGGCGTCTTGTACATACCAGTTGCGTTGCTTCTGGGAGTATGGGTTCGAGTCACTTCTGGGGTGTGAGTTTTCAGTTGCATATGTCCTGGGGACCATTCAGGCTTGTTCGCATTTGTGTTCCTCACGTGTGCCCCAAAGAATGAGGTGATTTGGTAAAATGCTATGCCCAAGATAACTATCCGAGTGCCGGCGGTGGGGTGGTTCATATAGCCTCGGCTATCACCTCATTTTGTCCGGTCGTGATGGTCAAGTGGATTAAGGCGTCTTGTACATACCAGTTGCGTTGCTTCTGGGAGTATGGGTTCGAGTCACTTCTGGGGTGTGAGTTTTCAGTTGCATATGTCCTGGGGACCATTCAGGCTTGTTCGCATTTGTGTTCCTCACGTGTGCCCCAAAGAATGAGGTGATTTGGTAAAATGCTATGCCCAAGATAACTATCCGAGTGCCGGCGGTGGGGTGGTTCATATAGCCTCGGCTATCACCTCATTTTGTCCGGTCGTGATGGTCAAGTGGATTAAGGCGTCTTGTACATACCAGTTGCGTTGCTTCTGGGAGTATGGGTTCGAGTCACTTCTGGGGTGTGAGTTTTCAGTTGCATATGTCCTGGGGACCATTCAGGCTTGTTCGCATTTGTGTTCCTCACGTGTGCCCCAAAGAATGAGGTGATTTGGTAAAATGCTATGCCCAAGATAACTATCCGAGTGCCGGCGGTGGGGTGGTTCATATAGCCTCGGCTATCACCTCATTTTGTCCGGTCGTGATGGTCAAGTGGATTAAGGCGTCTTGTACATACCAGTTGCGTTGCTTCTGGGAGTATGGGTTCGAGTCACTTCTGGGGTGTGAGTTTTCAGTTGCATATGTCCTGGGGACCATTCAGGCTTGTTCGCATATATATATATATATATATATATATATATATATATATATATATATATATATATATATATATATATTCATATATATGTAAGGGGTGTTGAGCTGGACCTGGGTCTCTTCCCCCTCATTTTCCCCCCTTTTCCATACCCCAGCCGATGTTCATACCGTACCCACAGACCATTCCCCCTGCAAAGTTGGGTGGGGCTAGCCACAAGCGTCTGGCTTCCGACCTTGGATGTGCATTCTCTCTCTTATATAGATCAACTAGGGAGTACCCGGCGGTGCCTGGGATTGTCTGTCTCCTCTCCGACCCCTCACTCCACCCCTCTTCTCCCATGTCCCCATCCCCTTAGTCCCTCCATTTACTCTTTTCTCCATCTTCCCCATCCCGTTACCCCGCCCCATCTCCTTGGTCTTACCCCCATCTCCCCCTTCTCTCAAGTGCATTATTAAGAAGGCCCCTACCCCTGACATCTCACCCTCCTCCCCCCGATCTTCCCTTTTCTCAGAATATATATTATTAAGAATTGCATGGGTAAACTTCATCTTCTATGGTCATCTCATTCTCTATCCCCCCACGTCGGCCTTCCCCTTCTCCCACAACCATCTTAATCCACCCTTCATCCTCCTACACCCCAACTTCCCCCTTTCTCAGAAAATATGTTATTAAGGGATACTAACCTATGGAACCGCCTACCCGCCGAAGCCGTAAATGTCAAAACTGTTGGATTTTAAAATCCAGCTTGTAAAAAACATCAGTACAAATGGAGTGGGGAACTTTTGAAAAGCCGCCGGCTTCCTGTCCTCGTTGAGGTTATTAGTGTTAGTGACCCTCGAGTAAAAAAATACAAAAATGGAGTCTGCGGGTAAACTTTACGCTCTACGGACATCTTATTCCAGATTTCATTTCAGACAATGAAAATCGCTCCTCGGTGGTGTTGGTTACACACTATATCTCTCCAAGCATTAACTTAGGCCTGCCTTAACCAGCCTATGTCTGTCCCCTACCCACACTATTTCCACTAAACAATTCTGAGTCTAGACCCAAGAGCCTGGCCTCCAACTTTGGACACATACACTCTCTCTCTTATACTCTAGGTTTATAATTAATAAAAACTACGTTTGGTTTATTCTGTATGAAAGATTCATCCTGTCAGTTTTTTTTCTGCTGTATAAGTCAAATAGTAACTTTCTTCAGTAAACAGTTAAATATACACTGCAAAAATGTGCCGTGAGAGAAAATCAGTTTTACAATGACCTTTTTTACACACTATATATAAATCCTTTGTAGTCTGCAGCTTAGTAAAAGGAACTTTAAGGTTCAGCTCCTGAGCTCATTATGTGCTTTAAAAAGTTGATATATATGTTAAACCATATAGCTTATCAAGACTGTAACTTGCTTAACTAAATAAATTTTTGGGTTCAATTCCTGAGCCCTGTAACCTCTGTAGCGTGCCTCTGTTATAACCTTTTCCACTACAGTTCACAGTATGGATATGGGATGCACAATAAATTAACTCAACTTTTTGCAAGAGAATTACAAATTTAAATTGACTTTTTCTTCGTTAAACACTTGATTTTATCCTTTAGCTAAAGACAGTTGTTCATTGACACTGCCGGTGATGTCTTCCACCCCTTTGACGGCTTGTGACAACTTTAACAAGATTCTTAATACGGTGAAGTCCAATTAGATAAATGAAAGGTACCTGTAGTATTTATATGCAAGGTCAACCCACAGTTGTTTGGCTATGTCCCACACGACCCTTACACAGTACTGTGTGCATAATCCCAGACAAAAGTTATGACTGTAGTTTGGTGTCACCGATCAGGTAGCACTTGCCACTTTACCGTTACTTGAAGAAATTCGTTTGTTATCCCTGTGGAAACATATATATTGATATTATCCATAACTTTTGACTTTTTTATCGTATGGGAGATCATATTACATTAGAGGAGTAATTCGACATTGAAGGGGGGGGGGGGAACTTGATATAAATAAATCTAACGTTTATGAATCTACTCTGGCTTCCTGTCCCCCGACACAATGAATTATTATTAGTGCATTATTATTTACTCCCGAGTTACTGGTGGGTTTAGAATAAGGCAGCAAGCATGAGTGTGAGAGCCTCTCACCTGGGACCCAAGTTGTAGTAATGTCTCCATGTACGCAGGTTCCAGCCATATGACCTAGACAAGGAGCACCGGCTGACGTTGAGTGTGAGTGCCAACCAACTAGTGGGGTTCTGCCTGGAGCTGATGTTGGCACTGTGGTCGACTAAGGTTGGATGGCGAGGTGTCCGCGCCCCGGAGTTCAGCGCCGCCAGGAGGGACACCCTCGCTGACGACTGTACCAGCGTGGCGTCCCTTCCTCGCCCCGGCCAGCAGGTGCCGCTCGCTGCCCTCTATCACCTCCTCCAGGTCAGTCATATATTGCTTGTATGTGTGTTGATATACCTATGTTATGTCTTCTTTATTAGTCCAAAATAAATAATTCAATACTCGTGTCCCGATATAGTTGACGCTGCTTGGACACAATATTAAGCTAATGTGCATACAGCATTTGTAATGTTGCTTCTTCACACCCAATTCTTAACTAAATGTAAAAAAGCTTTCTAATTAAGAATATACTTGATTATATAATTCAAGCAATATAAACTTTTCTCCAAGCGTAAATTATTTATAAGCTTAATAATGCCAGGTATTCTATGAATCGTACACAGCCGTAGTAGGCTACAGGTTTAGTTGCTTACACAAACCATTACAGTCGGACTAAATTCTGGAATCGTGGGGGAATTGCAAATGTTGCACCAGTCTGTAAGAAGGAAATGGAAATAAATCGCCTGCGTCAAATTATCGTCCAATTAGCTCTGCTGTGGGGAAACGGTTTGAATCGCTAATCTCAGAAGGCATTAATTCGTTTATCTTGGGAACTGATTAATAAAAGATTCACAACAGCTTTTATAAAGGGCCGATTAAGTTTAAGAACTTGTTTTCATTCTTTTGCAAAATTTGTGGAAAGGATTGCAAAATGGTATACCATGGAAAGTGAAAAGGATTGCAAAATGGTGTACTATGACTTTAGGAAAGCTTTTGATACTGTGCCTCACGAAGGCTGATTAGAAAGGTAGCTGTTAATGGTATTGGGGAACTGTCCTAACTTGAATAAGGCCCTGGTTATTTCAGAGGATACCAAGAGTATAGTAAATATTCAGTAAGTCAGAGTGGCAAACCTTTGTAAGTTAAGTGCCCCAGGGCTACTTCTTATAAGACCTCTATTGTTTACCATATACTGTACATAAATGAGCCCTTCCTCAGAGCAAATCTATTACCATGAGAAACCACACCCACCCCCTCAGACCACCTGGATAATTATCTAGATATTTATGATGACCTGCAAGCATATTACAGTTTCAGTAATAGTCTAATGTAAACTAGCAAGTAAACCTTTGTCCTAAACAGAGATCATACTGAAGTTATAACTTTACCATCTTATAAATTGTTGATTTAAAATATATAACGTAAATGCTGAAAATGTTTTTCTTTGAAGAATTTGGTTTTGTCAATAGAATTCTCAGGCACACTCAAATAGTTTTAAGTTCCATATTTAACATTAACGTCAATAATACACAGTACTAATGTAATCAAATATAATGAAACCAAACCTCAACCTAAAGTAAGCTTAACCTAACCTAACCATGGATAGAAAGTAGATAACAGCACTAATTCTGTAGTCTTCTTAGTTCATTCTCTTGGGATGAATTTCCTCCCTGAGGACAGGTTAGCATAAACAATTTAAATATGGAATTGAGCAGCAATATTTGCAAATTTGAGAATGATATAAAAAGTTGGACAAAAGAAAATTTCAGAAATAACTAAAATGTAATTGCATCAAGGTCTTCTAGATAGGTTTTTGAAATGGATGCAAGATTGGCAGATACAGTATAATGCTGAAAAATGTAGGATTCTGGGGCTAGATAATGCTGATACATAGTTATCATCCAGAAATCAGTTTGATAGTGTAAAAAATAAGAAGTCTGAATACTGAAATATTCAGTATGGGTCAGATCATGACCCTCATGATCTGAGGGTCATGATTAGTAGGGATTTAATGCCAACATATAAATGTATAGATGTTTGGAACAATGCATATATGATACTGGAATTTATTTCCAGCAGCTTTAGCAACACAACAACTGGTGTTATACATTAGTATTATCTTGTTCTTGTTTGGCACCATTTGGATTATGTAGTTCAGGTTTGGTTGCTATACTATAGAATGGACATAAATTCACTAAAGCTAATTCAGATAAAGATGACAAAGTCAATCCCAGGAATTGGAAATCTTTCATATGAAGAGAGATCCAAAAAACTTAATTTACATTCTCTAGAATGGCAAGGACTTAGATGTCACATGATTGAAGTAGTCTACTGCATTCAAATGAATAAAAGGGTATAACAAATGAGATATAAAAAGATGTTAAATATGTCAACTTCAAATAGAACACTAAAAACAATTGTTTTCTATAACTTGGATAAGTTAAGATTCAGGAAAAACCTGGGAAAATAATCTAAATACTGGTTTGGAAGTAGATCCATGGAATAAATTACTGGATAATATAATACATAATAAATGTGGAGTCACTTGATTGTTTCAAGCATAGGATAGATATACTGTATATGTATGAATTGCTAACCACATTAACATAGTAAATAACATTTCATTTACTTGGACCATCGGAGCCTCGAATATAGGACCACAAAAGTGGTCGGCCATACCTCTATCCCCTGCACTACTGAATGCCCACAATAAGAATATCAGACACACAACTGGTATACAGCTGATATTTTAAGTCTTCCTTAGAGTGTCACTTTAGTGTAGTGGTGCAGTATTAGATGATCCATGCCCTAGTTATAGAAATTGTTAACCACATTAATGTTGGAAATAACATTTGATTCACTTGGGCCATCAGAACCTTGAACACATTACCACAAAAGAAGTTGCATGTAGCTCCACCCACTGCACCACTGAACACCCACAATAAGGAAGGGTCTCAGAGATACGTTACTAGTATCCAAATGAGATTTTAAGCCTTCTCTTGGGTGCCACTTGAGTGTAGAGGTATTAGGTGATCCACACTTTACCTATTGAAAATTCCAAGGATTAGTATCCCCACGGCCTGGTCTCTGACCATGCCTCCTAATTGCTGGTCTGATCAGCCAGGCTGTTTGATGTAGCTGTGAGCAGCCACATCGAAAGGCTGTGACATATGAGTCACAGCCTGGTTGATCAGGTATCCTTTGAAGGTGCTTGTCGAGTTCTCTTTTGAACACTGCGAGAGGTTGGCTGGTTATGACCCGTACGTGTAGGGGAAGAGCGTTGAAAAGTCTTGGGTCTTTGATGTTGATAGAGTTCTCTCTCAGCGTACATATCTAACCTCTGCTAACCTAACCTCTGCTTTTCAGTGGGGCTATTTTGCACATCCTTCCCTACCTTCAGGTTTCATGTAGTGTTATTTCTGTGTGCATATTTGGAATTAGTTCTTCTAATATTTTCCAAGTGTAAATTATTACACTTGGAACACTTATTCTAGTTATAAATTGCCAACTCACTAATGTGGGAAATAATTTTCATTCCCTTGGAACATTGTAGCCTCCAACACAGGGCAACAAAAGCAGTAGCCTGTAACTCTACCCACTGCACCACTGAACACCCACAATAAGGAAGGAAGGATCTCAGATATGCACAACTGGTAAGTAACTGAGATTTTAATCCTTCCCTGGGGCCATAAAAGTGGTAGCTTTTGTTTTCTTGTGCTCAAGGCTCCAATGGTCTCAAGTGAATGAAATGTTATTTCCCATGTTAATGTTATCATTTTATATGATTAAGGTGTGGATCACCTAATACCTCTACACTCAAATGGTACCCCAGTGAAAGCCTCAAATCTCAGTTGGATACCAGTTGCATCCTTCCTAAGATCCTTTCTTATTGTGGGTGTTCAGTGGTGCAGTGGGTAGAGCTACAGGTTACTGCTTTTGTGGTCCTGTGTTCGAGGCTCTGATGGCTGAAGTGAATGAAATATACAATATATATGAATTTGGGTCGATATAAATAGGAGCTGCCTCATATTTCCTTAATTCTCATGCTTTAAAGTTAGTAATGCCATCAATTTTGCTTAATGAGGGAGGGATGCAATTTGGCTATCTTTTGAGTTTTTTTTTTTTAGTAATTATTTGAACTTCTCTCAAGCTGTTTCAGCAATGCCTGCAACATTTTTCTGGTTATAACAATTAGGTTCATGAATTCTTATTGCCTTTAATCCTATTTCTTGTGCTTCAGGCTCATCCAGAACTGCTTGGAAACAAAGCTGTAATAGGTAGTCTGGGAACACCATGGTCAACAGTGTTAGATGAACGCCCACCACACCATTCTATGGATTATCAGGAGCGAGTCAGTCGTTTTTTATCCCATGCAATAGAGGAGCAAAATATGTCCTTCAGCAGATCACCTTCAACACTTCACAGGGAAACGCGAGATGCTTCCTCTCCAACAGTATCTTCCATGGTGACAGGAAGTGGCAGAGGCAGCCCTGCTGAAACTGTTATTGCACTTGTTGGGAGTCCAGAACAAAAACACATTGAAAGCACTGAGGAAAATTTCTACAATGAAAAGAAACAGGTGTCTAATAAATCTCATAGAATAGAACATAAGAATCGTGGTGAGCACAAAATTAAGGCACCTGCTCCAAAGATTAATTCTAAAATAAAAGAAAATGAAAAATTAGTGGAAAAATGCAAGCCTTGGGTAACAAAAGAAAGCAAAGTTATCAATAAAACTGATAAAGAAAATAAAGATAATGCAGAAAATGTCAAGAAATCTTGTGAAGATACTGAACAAGAAAACAAAGATGAACTGAAAAGTACAGTGGTCGAAGGACAGAATGTACCTGCAGATACAGAACAAATCACAAAAGCTGATAAAGTGAACAAAATGGATGCTAATTTATCCAAAACATCAAAAAAGGCAGAGGAACACAAAATAGTTAAAGATAGCAAAGTGAGTAAAACATTAAAATTATCAGAAAAAAATACAAACCAAGAACAGAAAACTGAAGGCAATGTTACCAGAGATTTAGAAATGACAAAAGACAATATAAATTGCATAAAAGAGGATAAAGTACTGTGTGAAAATGAAAATCAGTCAGCTAAAATTGAAAATAATAAAGATAATGTATCAGAGACTGCCAGTGTCCTAGATCACACAAACATTGTTGAATGTATTCAGCCTCCATGTGAATTTCAAGATAACATAGTAATTGAAGAAAAACACAGTCAACATTAATAGTGCTGGGCACATAATATTTATGTGCTTAAACACCATTTTATACCAGATTTTGCAGGCCATATCTAAAGAACATAAGAATCAAGGGAACTGCAGAAGGCCTATTGGCCTATACGAGGCCGTTCCTATTTATATCCACCTAAACTCATTCATATGAGTTTAGGTGGAAAAGTCTATACAGTAATCCCTAATTCACTATAATGTATATACAGTATTTACTTTTTCAGTATTGTATTATTATAACTGGTATTATAACTGCATTTTGCATGAGGTACAGTACTAAAATACATTAAGGTTTTATGCAAGAATTTGTGTGTGTGTGTATAACTAGTTACTTTTATCGTTTTGAATATGTGTTTAAAAATTATAAAGTCTATATACAATGGAAACCCACTCATATACTGTGTACTAGAAATATAGATACTGTACTAAGAAAAATGTTTTTGTTTTGATAACAAAATGATTGTAATCAGTCGCAACAGAATATAACAGAAGGCTTTAAATGTAATGAGTCCATGTATTTTCTAAACAGGAATTTACTGCTGAAAACATTGAAGATAAAATATTTTGGTAATACTGCATATTGTACACAAAAGTGTGTTCTATCATTTGCACTATTACAGTAAGTCAGGATGCAACTGAAATTCCTTTGATGTGGGTGGGGACCAGTATGAATCTGAGCATTCAAATGGGTTTCCACTGTAATAAATTCTGCCCAAGTATGTCCTTCTAATATAACCTGTAAAATCCAAAACTTGTAATCAATATTTATTGCCTGAAAAACTTTAATAAAGAATGTGTGCAAAATTATTGTCAGTACAGTACTTAAGGAGCCCAGTGCTTGTGTACCGAAACGTCCTCAAACACACTCAATTTTTTGGTGAATATCTTCATGGTAAATGCTGCAACTTTTCCTAATGGATCAACATCATACCATGACCAGAAAAAAATTAAAATAAAATAGAAAAACAAATTTCACAATTTCAAATTTGCTTTAAAAAATCTTAAAATGTCACCCATTGTTATTTTATTCATTATGGTCTCAGAATGGCATATAACGTTCATGTTCCTAAGGAAAAAAATATTCTTTGAGAATATAGTTTACTGTAAAACTTTTTCTCAATGTGGCCATCCAAATATGTGCAAAATTTAGACACAAAAAGTGTATACAGTAACTCCAAATGTTATGGCTTTATGACTAAACGACCCTTAGGACACCTTAGAACTAAGAGTTTTGCACATAATATGTAAAAATGGTGAGAATCGGTCAGAAACTTATATTTTTAAAGGTATCTCAAAGTTGAAAATCCTGTTCATACAGAAAAATTCAGTTAAAATTCTCGACAATGAATATAGTTTTTGGAATTTATGACATATATTGTAAGTTTTAATTAAGATTCCTTGGCATTTGTACTCGAATATGTGAAAGTTGTAGGTCAATATGTGTTGAAACGAAGTCAAGAAAAAATAACCCCCACAAACAAACAAAATATAGGATTAATTATGTTATAGGGGATCTATATGTAGACGTTATATAAGTGATAAAGCCCTAATCTGGCCCCTAATCATCAAAACCACATAAAGAGGCAAAGAAAATGTCTCTTTAGGTTGAGACAAAGAGTTTGAAAAATGTGAAAAATCAGCCAAAAACAAATTAAAAGTCACAACTTCTGCTACCTGTGGCTGATTAACATGTTGACCAATTTCGTTCCAACTTCACATGCATAGTGCCAGATATGCATTCACCAAGATGTAGAAGTCACAACAAAATCCGCTTAGAAACAAAGGAGAGATAAAAATGGCAGCTTTTCGTACAAAGGGACATAAGAAATACAGTATTGTCATTGGGCAATGTATTTATATGATATATAATAAAATACAGCATAATAACATATTAACTCATTATTATGTGTGAAATCTGGCCCTCCAGGTGGCACCAGCTGCATATCCACTTTGTGGACACTCCTTACTACTACTTTTCTAGCTTTGTGTGTCGGACAGGTACTCACCTAGTTGTGTTTGCGGGGGTTGAGCTCTGGCTCTTTGGTCCCGCCTCTCAACCGTCAATCAACAGGTGCTTGCATCTCTATGTTGCCTGGGATTGCCAGTAAATAGTAGGTGTTATTGTTATTACCAGTACCGTAATAATGTGTGCACACCCATCGTGCACACATTTATTTTTTTTAAATTTGTAAAAAATCCATTTCTTAACATGTTGGGATGAAATTTTCACGACGCTGATGCCAAATAACAGGAGAGTTGTATTAAAAATTTTCACTATATTTCATATTTGGAAAAACATTCCTTAGTCACCGGGCCCCTTACTTAAACACAATACTGTATCGATATTCCCTGTTCAATACAGGTATAACTTTTTATAAATATTCATGTGTTTAGTTTTAAAAAATTATGATGTATAACAAACCTCAGTCATTAGCACTGTTATACTTCAGATTCAATATTAATATAAAATATGTTATATTGTGTATGAATTAGTATACCTCTTTGTTACATAAATTTATATTTAGAATACTGTATGATTTGCTCATTATGATGGTGTACATTATAAAATGTATTGACTGTATATCTTAATAAATTTATATGTTTTAAGTGTATATGTTTATATTTTCACTGATTTATAAATAATCTATATGGTGTGATAACAAGGCAAGCCAAACTGTATAAATACAATATTTATATAACCTTTGAGCTTGGTTTATAATCTCAGCTCAACTCACCAGCAGTGGTGAGGAGGACACAAAGCTCAACTCAAACTCACCAGGATTGCTGGCCCAACCCCTAAAGAACGGAATACACTTAGTCTGCCTTTATCATTTGGCCGGAAGACGAGTTTCACAAGTCGGACTCAACTGCTTTCCAGTTGTATAAGCACACAATATTCTCCACCATAGAAAGGAAGTGTTGTAAAGGGAAAGTGTATAGTTTAAAGAATGTGATTTTATGCTTTTATGTATATAATCTAATGTACTATTTGCCTTATACTGTATAACAAAAATAATAAATACATGATGAAAGTTTTGATGCTGCTATACAATATTAGTTACAGAATATGACATGTATTACAATGTAATTTATATTTAAGGTCTTAAATTTCACTGTACCTCAATCAGAAGAAAGCAGACATGCAATAAAAGAATTTGTCAATTAACACTTTATTTATCACACAACTATTGGAATAGAGCAGCACTGTGAATTTATACAATGCACACAACATGCTAGTTAATTTAGCAGTAGTCTATTTAAGTTCTATAATTATTTATATTTAGATTCAAATACTGCAATATAATGATAACTAAATATTGTAGGCTAAACCTACATTCTAAGCAACCACAGATCATGGAAAGTTTTTTAGGGTGAACTAAAGATGTGGGACTATATATAAAAAAATAGTTAAACATTTGTCACAGTACAGAATTGTACAGAATTATTCAGTAAATACTTTCTTATTTATAATGACAGCAAGAATTTCTAATCTATGCTTGGGTTTCCCATTATTAGGTATTACAGTACGGTGTACTGAAAAATAATCAACATATTGTATTTAGGCTAGGTCCGGTTTGTATATACAGGCCGTCCCAACTTACAAACGGGATGTGTTACGAAAAGGTGACCATAAACTCCGAAACCAGGTTTCTTATAAGCACAAAGTTATAAATGGGGGATGTGTTTTTGGACCACCAAAAATCATCATATATATAAAAAAAATTGGAAAATAATATACAAAAAATATTTTTTTATATTTACCACAAAGATTTTCTCTGCTTGTCTGACTATGCTTTTTGAATATCGAATAGGTAAAGGAAGAAGCTGTAGGAGATCATTATACATGTAGGGAAGATATTGGTGGGTCATCTTCAGCTTCAATGGCTACTGTAGATTGCTAAAATGTGAGTAGCAGTGGCATCTCCAAAACTCATTTGGAGCACAATTAAAGTTACCATTCACACCCAAATTGCTCTTCTGTACAATATTTGCAATTTTGCTAAACAAAATATGAACTTCAACCTGTCATATGATGAATATCTTCCAGCATAATCTGACTGTAATGAGATTTCACCCTCATCAATATTTTTCCCATGCCCAAGCCCTGTAAACCCCTGGTTCCTAACCAGTGGGTCACAACCTCCTTGGAGATCTTTTGAGTATTAGAAAACAAAGCCATTCCCAAAAACGATGGGAACCACTGCTCTAAACCATATTTTTGAAAGTTAGTGTCATATCTGTGATTCAAACTCAGGCCTGGAAAAATATGAGATTGTCATTCTAGCAAGCAAGTCTGAATGATCACAATAAGGAAGAGCATTTTCAGGCCATTGTTGGAAACGTTCATCATCCAAATAAATGTACAGTAATATTATTACCAGTGATACTGCAAATTCTACATATTATGTGACATGGATGAGGAGCTGAATGGCTTTCCTATATGAAAGTGTTGCTCCAGGGAAAAATCAACGTTTTAATTTGAGTATCTGTTAGATCAGTGATTCTCAAAAGGGAGGCACTTGGCTCCCCGTGGAGGTAATTAAAATCTAAGTGAAGGGATTTTAGCTAGAGGAAGAATTGGGGAGAAATGTCAGCCAGGAGAGTAATCCCAAACTGGGAAAGAATGTACTCTGAGGAAACCTGAGATAGCAAGGGGAGGTATGTGACCTGGAAACCTGAGAACCACTGTGTTAAATCCTAAAGAGACTCCTTCCTTATTGTGACCATCCTACCTTGGTTGCTACAAAAGAATGAATCTTGTATTTTTGGGGAGCCATGTGCTCCCTATCTCAAGTGATCTGCAGCTGTTCCTAACATAATGAAAAGAGACTTTAAAATTCATGCCAAACACACATGCACAATTTAAGTATGGTTATGTCAGTGAAAATTATGATACTGCATTGACATTCAAGACTGGGTGTCAGTGTAATCTGACTGCACTCTAATGGATATACTGTACTGTTGTCATGAATTACCACATAGAACTAGCATCATATTTACACATTCTAGATGATATAAAAACAATTTAATTACTGATTGCAAATCTTTTGCTATATTTTACTTTAAGCAGCATTATATAATCCTACATTATCGGTACTGCAACTGTTTTTCTATGACAAATGGAGCAGATACAGTATATATCAGTCCTTCCTTGCATAGCTGTACAAAATAATAACAAAAGTTAATAACCCACAGGATTATTAACAATTGGAACTGCCTACCCACCAAAGTCCTAACTGCCAAACCATTGAGTTTTAAAATATACCTGGAAAAGATTAAGGCAAATGGAGGGACCTTTGAGAAGTTGCCGGCTTCCTGTCCTTATCGAAGTCACTAGGGTTAGTGGCCCTCAGGTAAATCAGGTAAAATAAATAATTTCTAAATATAACACCAACTTTATAGTTTATTAAGAAAGTATTAATATTTGTAATGTTTGGGTAGCTGTTTTTAATTAGGGCTATTATGGCACTAAAGAAATAATAAAATTTATGAAGACATGCATTATTTCTATAAAAAATGAGCACTGAATGTAATGAAATGCCACTTTCTGGGTGAGCCCCGGAGGCTCCCTGGAGCTGAAGGGGCTCCCCACAGAAAAATGTTGTTACAAAATCTCAGGGAAAGAAAATACATATGGAAAAGGTACACAGAAGATGAGAAATTTGAATAGTTAACAACATACAAGCAGGCATCCTGGATATTTAGTCAAAGAAGTTGAGAGTCTGGTCAAGTGAAATGGGTATACAAATACGAGTATATTATCATAAAAATATTGCCATTTTCTTTTCTGTTGAAAGGCATCACGAAACATTAATCATTTGTATGCGGAAAATCCACAGACTTGAAAAAGGGAGATGAATGTTTCGGCTAATCAAGGCTGTTGTCGACACCAGTTTGGTGTTGGTCATATTCAACATACATACATACATACATATATATATATGTCGTCTGCACATGCACAGAGCATTGTCGTAGCAGGAAAGCGTCATCCTCAGAACAGTGTAAACAGCAAAGTAAATACACGAACCCTTAAAGGGCGCAATACGTATATATTGTATATGAATTAAGTAAATGTCGCTGAACGGTGCACATCACATATACATGACTGAGAATACCACGTACAATTTAAACAACCCTGTCGGGCAAAGGGGGCAACCATATGCTAGCCAGAGGCGATAGTAAACAGATGCCATCTTGGAAAAAGTCCAGTGTACGCTGCCATTGTGGGAAGACCTCAGTTACCTTACAGACACCATGGCGAGCACATCACGTTCTGGTGGCTGACCGCACTCAGTGCACCGCTCCACCCAGTCATTGACTGAGGATGAAATTCATACTGAATTGTTTTCTGAGGGTGAGTAAAATGATATTGATGACTCAGACATCGATAAAGACTATACACAGGACTCAGATGTGACTAATACAGACAGTGAAAGTGAAATTGTGCTTGCCTCGAGGGTGAAGCCTACACCCTCATCACTGCCACCTCGCCCTCACTCCACACCAGTTCAATCCCCACCACACAGTTCATGTGGTAATGTGCAACATAATGATGTTTTGGGTGACGAATCTGTCGACAGTGACTCATTTTTTGGTTTTAGTGATGTTGAATCAAAATATAGTTTTACCACGCCTGGTTCTCCCCTGGAAACACAAACCGTAACTGTCTCTATTTTCCGCTTGTTACAACTTGTTATAAAGTAGTTACATCTTGGCTTAACGTGTTTATGACGTATTAGAACGTTGTTACAACTTGCTATATTGATTGCTATAACTGGTTAGGAGGTGTTAAAACGTGTTCGAACGTTGTACCAACGTCGTAGTTTCGGTGTGTGTTTGGCAGATAGTACCAGTACCAGTGGTGTGGGTGACATTACTAGGCCATGTTTTGTCGCGTCAGCGAATCACCCAGGCAAACCCCGCCGCATGGCACCACATGGAGACAGTGAGGAACAAAGCCCCTCAAGATCAACAGATTTTTCCTCATCTTCCATTCACGCTCGTATTGTGTGTAGATGGGCTTCAGCTCCCAGTCTACAGATTCCTCGCCGTGGTGCCGCTGTTGTATCTCGGAAGACAGCAGGTGTATTTGTGTGGAGTGATGGTGCAGATTTTGTTCGAAAAATTCCTGCCTCTGACATATAGATGTTGGGATTACAGACCTTTTCCCTAATACTGGTGAGGACATGTGTGAAATGGACTTTTTTACTGTATATTTGATGAGCTGCTCATGGAACATATTGTTCACCAAACGAACAAAGACGCGGCTGAATTCATTGCAAGTGAGGAGACTAATGTAGGTGAAATGTATGTATTTTTTGCACTATGTATGTTGATTAAACACTGTAAAACACGTTCTCACAGATTATTGGACCAAAGACCAATGTGTTCCAACACCTATGTCCAGCAAATATGTCTCGAGACAGGTATGTGATAATCCTCACGTGTATTTTGCAAGTAATGAAGACCAGATAGAGGATGGTAGACTTTGGAAGGTGAGGCACATTCTGAACGCACTTATTGGAAAGTTCAAGGATTTCTACGTACCAGCTACGAAGCTGGCAATTGATGAATCCCTTGTGCTTTTCAAAGGACGTGTTGCCTTCAAGCAGTATATTCCCTCCAAATGCCCCAGATTTGGACTGAAATTCTTTGTACTCTGTGACTGTGAAACAGGAATTGTGTTATACGTGATAATATATTCTGTTACCAATGTAGACATTCCTGGTAATAACCAACATGGCTTCTCAGGTAGTGTGGTGAAGACACTGCTGGCACCATAGCTGAACAAAGGCCACATATTTTATTATATACTCACACATGTACAGTATATTATTACACAGATAACTATTATACAAGTCCCTTGCTAACTAGGTTCTTGCTTGATAACAGAACTGGAGTGTGTGGCACAGTAAAGGCAAAAAGAAGGGAAATGCCAGTGTTTGACAATAATATTGAAGTTATTGCCAGGTAATGAAGAAGAATGCCAGGTAAGAAAAACTGGTAAAATACTTTGTGCAGTGCAAAAGACAGGTGAGAAGTGAACATGTGACAACCATTCAGACTGGTACAATGGTGAACAGTGGCAAGGTGGACAAAGTAATGAAACAAACTAATATATAAACCAGATTGTGTTATGGACTATAACATAAACATGTGTT